TTTTGAAATGAAGAGCTTGCACGCAGGCTAAGGATAAATAACGCTAATTATACTCACTGTTTTTTGTTTCGCAAAATTTTCCAATCCACTGGACACCACACTCGCAGGTATATTCTTCGTTTATTTTTACACAAGCACCATTGTTTTGGCATCCAATCCATCGACATGAGTCATCCTAAGATAAAATTTGGAGATACACTGAAAAGTGCGTTTAATAGATAGGAAGCGTTTAAAAGATGGAGGGGTTTATTCCAAAAACTGTGAAAAGCACTGCAGAGGTAATATGCTTTCGGAAAAAATATCAAGAGAGCTTAGCTTTAAAACAGCGGAATATCCACTCCATCAATTGTTACGTCTAGGCCGTCAAGGGAACCATATCGCTCTTTCAAATCCCAACACCGATGTCAGAATCCTCGCTCAGGGTTTTCGTGTTGCCATCGTTAGTCTATCTTTACTTTGAACTTGACATTGAACAATAAGACGAAATACACAAAGCCTTGTAATCAAGCAAGAAGCTGAATGTATATTTATGTAAAAGTGTACAACCGATTGAGTATAAAATGAAATAAACTGAATGCAGGGCTGGCACTACGGCAAACGGCTGATTTATTATAGGCCAATATTTCGGCTAACAAAATTAGCCTTTCTCGGGGCCAGAGCTCGGTAGTGCCAGTCCTGAATTCAGTTTGTTTCATTTTCCACATAAAGTGACGTCTGGCTATATCATCTCTTTAAGTAGAGATCCGGCAAGAGGATCAAGTCAGTTCAATTTACGCGTTGCGTGGACCTCTGCATTCGAACAGTTTTTTCTATAGAGTATAGTTAATCTATTTTACTCCAAAGACTCCCTGAAGCTAACAAAAAGCAGATACACTAAAGTGCATAATTTACTTTGAGCTCTTGTTGGTCGAGGAAAAAGTTAGAAGCTTTGTGAAAATTTATGTACTCTTCTCGATTCGAGTCATTATAACTGGACAAAATAATACAGAGATCAATTGCAGAAAAACAGTACAATAGAGCTTGTTCACGGTACTGCGCTTTATAATCCAGTAGCAGAGGTCGAGAATATAATAATGCGGATCTTTTTTTCTTATATGGAACACTGGGTAAAAGTTATCCTTCTTTAGCGACTTTTTTAAAAACACAAAAAAAACAAAAAAACAAAGAATTGGAAAGTAAAAGGTGATTCAGGTTCCAGCCTCTTTTTCATGCTGGACTGTAATTTGTGTGATAGAAAAACGTCGTTTACTCGAAACCTTTACCACAAATCGACCTTACATATCATTAGACAATAATCAGAAGGCTTTATTCTACCAAAATCCGGTATCAAACCTTTTCTGACCCGTGGGTTGAACGAAACAACAATTTTCCGACCTTGCAAGCTAATGGACTATTAGGATTGATGTGGTAAAAGCAAAAAATTAGTTCATCATGTTCGTGTATTCATGACTCACACTCCGAGATGATTTTAGCAGTTCGCCTTCCACGGAGAGCGCCTTCAATTTCACCTGAGAGCGCGGGCTTCTGGGCAGTTGAACGTCATCACGATTCAAAGGGGCAGTCGGGACACTTTCCAGCCATACATACTATTTCTTTTACTAAGAATTCTTTAACAACAACAACAATAATAATGATAAAAATTCACAGCAAAGGGGGCCGCGGTCCCCTCGTTTAACCCCTAAATCTGCGAAGGAATGGCAACAACAGTTATTATGTTAGTAACAATGATGTGATGTATTCATGATCACCTTAAAAAGCATGGAAAAAGTCGATTCCAGTTGATCAACAAGCTTGATATCTTCAAAAGAAATGTTTTTGTGCTGGTTGAGTTCACAAATTCCATTTTCTTCTCCTTTAGAATACTTCTTGAAGTTTGTAGACGCACACCACGAGTTTTGTAAGCAAGAATGGCTGCACGTAAGAATGCTGGAAGGGTTAAATTTCTTGACAGCATGGCCCACCAGTTTCTTGTTTTCCCGGGTTATGACGAATGCTGATCGACGGCTTTTTTCAGTGCCGGTTAAGGCCATTACACAAAAGAAAAACCCTTGTAACAATGATAAAGAGATGAACGAACAAGTCATGGTTAAATCTTCTTCCAGCTGTACTGTGCTGTCACAGTGAGTGTGCATAAACTTAACATGTTCATAAAAGGAGGAAAGCAACCATTAGCGGTGAGGGATCGACAAACTGTCACAAGGATGACAAAAAATACCGCAATAACGCCTTAAAAAGAAGGTGTAATTAGAAATTAGAAAGGTTTCATAAGGCTTTGTGCCCTGAAAAACTTATACCAGAATTCACCAGATGATAGGCATGGGGCCATTAACTTACAACGCAATATTTCTGTTTCACTATTAAGATTTGAGTATTATTTGACAGGCATCCTCTCAAATACCAGCTGCGCTTTATAACTTCCCAGTAAGGAAGTTAAAACGTTTTTACGCCTTTATGTATCTTCCCGTCATTCCCAATTTATGCATTTACTTAATATGATGAGCGTCATTTAGAAATGCGTCGAGATAGGTCACATCTCATACGATGTTTTGCTGCTTTGCTTAAAACAGGGGTGGCGAATGGTAAAATCCGAGACTCGCCGAGACGCCGAGATCCTAGTTAGAAATCCGAGCCCGAGACTCTTTGGTGAAAAGTTTCGAGACTCAAAAAAAGTAAAAGCAAACCATGAAAAAACGAGACTTCGAGACTTATCAAAAACGCTTCCGAGATTTCGAGATCCTACCAAAATTTTCCGAGACCCATGTTTTTCGAGGTACCATTCGCCACCCCTTAAAACGTTTAACAGGACACAACACGCGCAAGCGAAAAATTAATGAAAGTGACATAAAAAGCCACAACAATGTTTACCTGTCAGTATGCAAGTCTGCGGTCTGCGTTTGTCCTCACCGCGTAGACATGAGTACTATGAGAACGCCCGGCTTTTTTCTAACTTTTTCATTTCGAAATGAAAATAAGATGTTTGCTAACGGCCTGGCGTTCTCAGAGCCCTCTGCGATCTTTATTTTTATGTTAAGTAAAAAAAAGACGATTAGACGGCCGGTCGTTCTCACAGGCTTTTCATTTTCGATTTCATTTTTTCTTTTTATGAGAACGACAATCGGCCGGTCGTTTCCATTGCTTTTTGATGAGAATCCTCGGCCACCATACATGTAACCTCATTTTGGAATACTTCAGCAGTTAATCTAACGCCTCCCTCCTTAATGATCCTCAAGCGTTTCTCTACCTGTTTTTCCTCTTTCTTAAAACCAAAAATCCTGGTGAATTCGTCCCACGACTTAGATGAATTAGTCATCTGACGGATTATTAGTCTGCCAAGGGTAGATAATCCGCCTTTGGTTTAAATTCGGCCAGTGACGGAGCCATGGGTGAGCGCTTAGAGCGGTGGGAGGCCCCGAGTCAAAGTCCCGCTCTGGCCGCCAGCTGGGTTTGTTGACGGTCCTTCGAGATCAAATCCTTGACCACGCTTGCAGATTGTCTCTGACCATGGCTAGCTGGGATTCTTAACCTTGTTACGTTTGATGTGAAAGACTCATGTAAATAGCGTGTATTGGGCTTCTCTGGCCCAATATTTGTCATGCCGAGTGTACGCTATCCCAAGAATTGGAGAAAAAAAGGTACCAGTGTCCTAAAGACAAAACTGAGCAAAAAGCTGTCTTTGTCAGTTCCGTCTACATATATATTTACAAACTAACTACAAGAGTACCCAACGGGAAATTTTGAGAAAAAGACCTACAAACAACAACCAAGCATGAATTGAGATTTCTGAAGCCATTTTAAGCATTTTGGGAGATTGCTGGGAAAAATTTATCTGTCTCTCACTCCCAGCAAGACTGATGGAAGGGTTCCCTGCCTGCAAGGTGTACCTAGAACCAGCAATCTGACTTACTGGGAAGTTTCCCAGCAGACGTATTTCCAGACATTGCTAGCCAGCCTAGTTTGGGTGGGGTCATAGAGCAAGATTCAGCTCCTAAGTGGGGGTGGGGGCAGCTACTCTAGACATAAAATCCACTATTATCTTTTTCCCAGCAACACGTTCCAACCAAGGACATATCATTTCTTCAAAATCTTCTATCCAGCAGAAATTGGCCTGAAGTACAGATATTATAAGGAATAGATAAATGGGTCCAGTGGAACTAACCGTCTCAGATGAATTATCCGCCTGTCAGCACACCTATAAGACGGGCTGACAGACGAATAAACCGAAGACGAATTTTGGCCCAAAATTCGACTGAACACTGGATTTATACCGAGACGAATTACACCTATCAGGGGGATAATTCGTCTCTAGTATTAATTCTGTCACTAAGCTGCCGGGTTACTTACATCGAACAACGGAATACAATAAGAATGGAATTTATCTATACGCGCGAAACGCGATAAGAAAACTTCGTGGCGACCGGTGTTCTTTAAACATCTTGACGTATTCTGTATCTCTAATTGAACAAAAGCCCACAGATGGGATAGTACATTGGAACCCACTGAGACAGAAGTAAATATTTGAGAGTGAGGACTGGGATTTACGGCCCCAAACCCTCTCGGCCAACCGTTTCATGTGTGTGAATAACTTGTGCCGCAATGGGCCGTTGTTACTTACACTTTACCGGCTGAAGTTTTGGTGGAGCCACAAAAACCTATCCGGTGCAGTTTGAACATAGCGTAAATGTCACTTTTTAATAAAAGAACCCACGACTCCTATGTTAGCTCTCCAGTAAATCTGTGCGATCAAAACCGTTAAACGTCCTCTAAATTCAATTTATAATTAACCTATTCACAAAATGGCCCTACGCTGGCCTATCACGGTCTGCCGTGTAATTCAATCACACGCCCAATCCTTCTTCGCACTTGATTGCCTTAATTATTTACCATCATTTTAATGTTCCGTCTATACATCGTAGAAAAATAAATGTTATTTATTCAAAAGAGTACTTCTGTTTTGGTTCACAACCACCACAAATTAACAAAAAAAAGTTCTGTATTTTCAATTTATTGTTACCATATAGCGTAACTTTTCTTCTGCCACTGATCTATTACGATTTACTTTAAATATCATTGAACACATTCAGTTCTATTTCGCACTGATGGTATTTTATGGTACCTCTGGTTTTAAAATGAAAATCATGGTAGCTGACCAGACATTTGGCTTACTGTACCGAAGATCCAAACTTAAAGCAACAAGTGTTCAATAATTGTATTTCTGTATTTTTCCGGAGTGGCACAGACTGAGAATAAATATTTTACGATTTATAGGCATATCATTTACTAACTCCGTTAACGAGTCAATTAAAATATTTTTACGACCTTGGACATTAGTTTCCCCGGCTTCGCATAAAAGATCCTGCGCATGGAAGGATAGTTTTCTCACTGACCGAAGATTTGTGTCCTTCACGCCATTTATTTGCCTCCACTCAGTTCCTTAGCAGTTTTTGGGTTTGTTTGTTTCGTGCACTTGTCACCAGCTAATTGTCATAACATAATCGCTCAAAAACTCACTATTCTGCGCAAGGCACAAAAAGCACGATGACTAAATATCACGTGGGCTTCAGGGTTGCAAGATATGCAAGGGCTGTTACAAGAGTCGTGAGACAGTACCCTTCTTCCCCCATAAGATACCTGGAAATCAAAAAACAAAAAGAATTACGCCAAAAAATAACATGAGTGTAGTATCATCACTAATAGATTCGAACCGTGAGGACTGCATTTGCTTTTTAACCAACCACCGATAGATTTCTTTTTTTTTTTTTCCTGATTTATTGAGCCATTTGACCTCTTGAAAGTTCGTTGCTCGCACACTTTGATTTAAGACTTATTCTTAGCAAATCTACTGAGCGCAGAGCTTAAAAACAGGAACTGAATCTAATACAATCTGGTGAGACTTAAAAGTTTAAAAGTCCTAATAATTTCAACGCAATTATCTACAACATCAGGATGTTGTAGATAACTATACAGTTGACCGCCAATCTTAACAAGCAGACAGCTCTACTTGAACGGTTGCCCTGACAAAAAAAGACCGTTTGAACTCCCATATATACAAAATAAACTCTGCAATTTGACAATCTCATAGGTGCCCACTTTTGTAAGTGGAGGCGGAAACTTTAAACGTAAACAGCTTTTACTTTTCTTTTGCTTACTACCGGTGGCCTACGTGAGCACACATTGCACAGGCAATTCTAGCACTTTCGGGAAGTTGTTAGTACGAAATGTACACACTAATACTAAGACGTATGATATCTAGGACAATATTTTATTTCTAGTGTGCGTTATGATGCGGTGTTATCGAGAGAAAACTTTTGTGTCTCAAGCGCCCGTGAAATGACCATTTGAATGAAACTACATGGCAGTACTTTTTCACATGGTACTATCTATTTGCTTTTTTTTACTTGAATTTTGAGTTATGATTTTTGCCAGCCTGCTTACAGCTCATTCCGTTTGCGAAAGCAGCCGTTATTTATCTCGTCACGCAACGTTCAAATAGGGCGTCCGCGTAACACATACGTGTCCATATGGAGAGGTGTGGAGAGGATAAACCGAAAATGAAGAATCAATAATACCCCTCGGTACAACACTCGTCACGCAACGCTCAATAAGGACGACTGCGTTATAACTACTGTAGGTGTTCTTATAAATAGGTGTGGAAAGGTTAGACTGTTTTTACTGAATATAAAGATTCATACTTACCCCTCGGGTATAAACTCCTCCATAGCATCACACTCGGAAACTAACTGTGCCATCCCACTCCGGATAATAACAAAACTCAGTATCGGCAATAAATCATCGCAGCCACTATCAAAAGATAATTTTAAAAAAATACTTGTTTAAATGTTTTTCTTTTCCCTCCGATGTAATACTGCGTCGAACGCAATGAGTGCATGCAAGTCAAGGTTACATATGCTATTGTAGCGCCGATTGTACTAAAAGACCTAAATTTAACATTCCTAAGATTTCAAGTTCAAGAACTTCTCTTCAGAATGTAGTATTCTTGTAGTACTCTTTGATTTGCTACCTCTTGCCAGAGCTAAAATATAGTGACAATCAGCAAAAAATATTATTGGCCAATTTGTAAACACTAATGTGGACTTACATGGCAGTCTCTGGGCTATGGCGGGGCTTTCCTTTACTCTCCCAATAATCTTCCACACACTGACAGATACAGCGTGACGTGCGCACTGTAGAATAAATGGAAAGGACAATGAACCATAGTCTTAGGCAGATTTGCTTTTTAAAAAGGACAGGCAGGATTGAACTAGAAAGAAAAATACGACACAAAAGACGCGCGTGCAGGCTGATTTTCACAATCTGTTTCACACTTGATTAGTCAGGAAAGAAAATAGGGAACATTTTGGAGTCCAGCTCGAAGCAAACAAAACCACTTTGTTTTTTTCTCTCTTCTTCATTACACACAGCCTCACAACAGTGAATCGCGAAGCAAAAATTTCAGCTGAAATACTCGATCGATCAAGTGGCATAACCGACGTATCCTCCGTTCTAATTGCCAACAAAAGCTAGTTATTTACTTCAAAAGCATGGGAGCATTGCAGCAAAATCATAACGCTTCATAACAAGGTACCTAAGCATTCCAGTTTTTCCAGTGGACAAAACATCGTCACTAATTTATGAAGTTCCTCAACAGCCATCTGATATGGATACTTGTTTTCAGTGGAGTTTAGAACCTCCTAGTAAAAAATACAATGGGTGATCAGTGACACAGTGAACTCATCAATTAAGAGAATCTAATAATATTAGGAGTGGTTCAGTTTTATGTTTGTGTTTTAGTTATTACACTAAAACGGGGAAAGGTTTGAATCCAGGAGTCATTTGGAGGTGGGACATGATCGTTCGGGTGAACGCAGTCCTGAAAAGGAGTGTTGCTGACAGTGACTGACGTTTCGACAACCTGTGCGGTAGTCATCTTCAGAGTCAAAGTGAGTTGATGATGGTATTAAACTCTGTTATTGATCTGATTGGTCAATTAAGTCGCGATGTTAATGGTCGTCTGTCAGTTAACCAGTGATGTCATTGGGTATAAGACTCTAAAAGTCATTGGTGCGTTTCGATCTGTCTTTTGTCACAGTATAACAATCGTTTACTGTTGGTCAAATTGTCGGTTGTCCAGTAATTCTATAGTTAACAGTTCTGCTTGAGCCCGTCAATAAGTCGTTTGTGCGGTACCGGTAACTGATGACTACGATTCAGTGGCGTTTGTTCTAAGTTAGTAAACCAGCATCTGAAGTGAGTCGTTGATAGTAGTGTGAAGAATAATTAATGCACATCGCAGAGTCTCAGTTGATTTGATGTTTGGTCTGTATTTGCATGGTGCTCAGAAATGTGATTGTTGATATCACCATTTCTTGTCGCTCTTTTGTGTTCGGCCAGTCGCGTGCTAAGGTTTAACCGGTCTCACCAACGTGGGTGACCTTGCAGTCGCACCATTTGATCTTGTATTTTGCCCCCTGTCTTTACGCAGTCATACAGTGCCATGCACAGAAACAAACAAACAAACAAACAATAAAACCCATATTTGTGGAGTATTAGACTTCGCATTGGAAGGCCTAACCGGAGCAACCAAGTCCACATTGGGTAAGTCTGTACCCAGTAAAGCCTTTAAAGTACCTTCTCCTTTGTTATTAATAATGCACACACCTGATCCTCCATACAGAGTCTTTGAGGTACGCCCATATCAAAAGGACCTTTACTTATGTTAGCAGCCATAACATCAGCTAAACAAACTTCCTTCTCAAAATTTACTTGTCTGTTGGGAAAAGGACCATGAAAGCATGTCATCATTTTGTAAGCTTGTGCATAGGGTGCTCTCATATTCGATTAGATAACAATAAATTAATAGATTGCTTCTTTGTACTTATCGACGCGTGAAGTGTTTTTTCTCTGGTGAACATGCTTTCTCGGGGCTTTCTCTCGGGGATCTGGGACAGTCGGACATTTCGAACATTTTTCGAAGGTCCGAGCAGCTCCTGAAGAATTCTCCGTTTCAGAGCTCGCCGAACTGACTGTTGCTTACGGTAAATTTTGAAATGGCCGACAAAGAAAAGACACTCCACCCATCGATGAAGGTACGTTATCTATTCATTTATCATAATCCAAACGGATGGCAGGGCTCCCGTGCTTGTGTCCTATCTAGACAGTCTATACAAAAACAACGGAGCCGTTATTTAAGAAAAATTGGCGCTTTCGTTATCACTACAGCGATTGCTATGGAACTGCTTCTTCTACTACTACTACTACTGCTGCTGCTGCTGCTGCTCTTACCACAACTACTACTTCTGCTGCTGCTACTACTGCTCTTAGTACAACTACTACTGCAGCTACTGCTACTGTTACTGCTACCGGTAGTACTACTGCTAGTACTACTAGTACTACTAGTGCTACTACTGCTGCCGCTGCCGCTACGGCTACCACTACCACTACTACTACTACTGTTCCTGCTGCTGCTGCTGCTGCTGAAGATGATCCTGTTACTACTCCACTGTCATCACTACTGTATTGACATGGCCACTACCACTACTATTCTGTTCCTATTGTAATCACTACACGATAGGGTGCGACTTGCAACTCTCTTGTAAATGAGTTTTATTTCAATACCTGAGGACCGCTAACAGCATAGGCCACAAAGGCTTAAAGAATGGAAACTCCACGCAGGAATAACACGCGTCTCGACCAGCTGGTGTGTCAAGCGGCTGGTAAGCAAGGACCAACAACTTCTGAAGTTTTTCTGAAATGAGGCATTAAATATATTCTTAGACCATTTAACAACAAACAAAGAAGATGACAATAGCTTTCCAGGCTATGGTTAATTAGCAGCCTTGGGATGATTAACATCTACACGAACCACCCAGATGGAAATCTTGTACATAAACATAAAACTATAGAATTTGACGTGGTGGGGAAACGACCTTTTAAAAGTCAGCTAAATAGACTTTAAAAAGTGGAAATATTGCTTCACCTCAAATAACAGCCATATTTTCTGAAGCTTCCCAAACGAAATGCCGCGAACCATTTCATTTTCCAGCCGGAATTTCCGGTTTTCCATTGTAAATGGTATCCATGGAAACTATTTGATGGCGAAGTTTCAAAGCAAGCTCAGAGTGTGGACATATTATTGGCCAATTTGTAAACACTAATGTGGACTTACATGGCAGTCTCTGGGCTATGGCGGGGCTTTCCTTTACTCTCCCAATAATCTTCCACACACTGACAGATACAGCGTGACGTGCGCACTGTAGAATAAATGGAAAGGACAATGAACCATAGTCTTAGGCAGATTTGCTTTTTAAAAAGGACAGGCAGGATTGAACTAGAAAGAAAAATACGACACAAAAGACGCGCGTGCAGGCTGATTTTCACAATCTGTTTCACACTTGATTAGTCAGGAAAGAAAATAGGGAACATTTTGGAGTCCAGCTCGAAGCAAACAAAACCACTTTGTTTTTTTCTCTCTTCTTCATTACACACAGCCTCACAACAGTGAATCGCGAAGCAAAAATTTCAGCTGAAATACTCGATCGATCAAGTGGCATAACCGACGTATCCTCCGTTCTAATTGCCAACAAAAGCTAGTTATTTACTTCAAAAGCATGGGAGCATTGCAGCAAAATCATAACGCTTCATAACAAGGTACCTAAGCATTCCAGTTTTTCCAGTGGACAAAACATCGTCACTAATTTATGAAGTTCCTCAACAGCCATCTGATATGGATACTTGTTTTCAGTGGAGTTTAGAACCTCCTAGTAAAAAATACAATGGGTGATCAGTGACACAGTGAACTCATCAATTAAGAGAATCTAATAATATTAGGAGTGGTTCAGTTTTATGTTTGTGTTTTAGTTATTACACTAAAACGGGGAAAGGTTTGAATCCAGGAGTCATTTGGAGGTGGGACATGATCGTTCGGGTGAACGCAGTCCTGAAAAGGAGTGTTGCTGACAGTGACTGACGTTTCGACAACCTGTGCGGTAGTCATCTTCAGAGTCAAAGTGAGTTGATGATGGTATTAAACTCTGTTATTGATCTGATTGGTCAATTAAGTCGCGATGTTAATGGTCGTCTGTCAGTTAACCAGTGATGTCATTGGGTATAAGACTCTAAAAGTCATTGGTGCGTTTCGATCTGTCTTTTGTCACAGTATAACAATCGTTTACTGTTGGTCAAATTGTCGGTTGTCCAGTAATTCTATAGTTAACAGTTCTGCTTGAGCCCGTCAATAAGTCGTTTGTGCGGTACCGGTAACTGATGACTACGATTCAGTGGCGTTTGTTCTAAGTTAGTAAACCAGCATCTGAAGTGAGTCGTTGATAGTAGTGTGAAGAATAATTAATGCACATCGCAGAGTCTCAGTTGATTTGATGTTTGGTCTGTATTTGCATGGTGCTCAGAAATGTGATTGTTGATATCACCATTTCTTGTCGCTCTTTTGTGTTCGGCCAGTCGCGTGCTAAGGTTTAACCGGTCTCACCAACGTGGGTGACCTTGCAGTCGCACCATTTGATCTTGTATTTTGCCCCCTGTCTTTACGCAGTCATACAGTGCCATGCACAGAAACAAACAAACAAACAAACAATAAAACCCATATTTGTGGAGTATTAGACTTCGCATTGGAAGGCCTAACCGGAGCAACCAAGTCCACATTGGGTAAGTCTGTACCCAGTAAAGCCTTTAAAGTACCTTCTCCTTTGTTATTAATAATGCACACACCTGATCCTCCATACAGAGTCTTTGAGGTACGCCCATATCAAAAGGACCTTTACTTATGTTAGCAGCCATAACATCAGCTAAACAAACTTCCTTCTCAAAATTTACTTGTCTGTTGGGAAAAGGACCATGAAAGCATGTCATCATTTTGTAAGCTTGTGCATAGGGTGCTCTCATATTCGATTAGATAACAATAAATTAATAGATTGCTTCTTTGTACTTATCGACGCGTGAAGTGTTTTTTCTCTGGTGAACATGCTTTCTCGGGGCTTTCTCTCGGGGATCTGGGACAGTCGGACATTTCGAACATTTTTCGAAGGTCCGAGCAGCTCCTGAAGAATTCTCCGTTTCAGAGCTCGCCGAACTGACTGTTGCTTACGGTAAATTTTGAAATGGCCGACAAAGAAAAGACACTCCACCCATCGATGAAGGTACGTTATCTATTCATTTATCATAATCCAAACGGATGGCAGGGCTCCCGTGCTTGTGTCCTATCTAGACAGTCTATACAAAAACAACGGAGCCGTTATTTAAGAAAAATTGGCGCTTTCGTTATCACTACAGCGATTGCTATGGAACTGCTTCTTCTACTACTACTACTACTGCTGCTGCTGCTGCTGCTCTTACCACAACTACTACTTCTGCTGCTGCTACTACTGCTCTTAGTACAACTACTACTGCAGCTACTGCTACTGTTACTGCTACCGGTAGTACTACTGCTAGTACTACTAGTACTACTAGTGCTACTACTGCTGCCGCTGCCGCTACGGCTACCACTACCACTACTACTACTACTGTTCCTGCTGCTGCTGCTGCTGCTGAAGATGATCCTGTTACTACTCCACTGTCATCACTACTGTATTGACATGGCCACTACCACTACTATTCTGTTCCTATTGTAATCACTACACGATAGGGTGCGACTTGCAACTCTCTTGTAAATGAGTTTTATTTCAATACCTGAGGACCGCTAACAGCATAGGCCACAAAGGCTTAAAGAATGGAAACTCCACGCAGGAATAACACGCGTCTCGACCAGCTGGTGTGTCAAGCGGCTCGTAAGCAAGGACCAACAACTTCTGAAGTTTTTCTGAGATGAGGCATTAAATATATTCTTAGACCATTTAACAACAAACAAAGAAGATGACAATGGCTTTCCAGGTTATGGTTAATTAGCAGCCTTGGGATGATTAACATCTACACGAACTACCCAGATGGAAATCTTGTACATAAACATAAAACTATGGAATTTGACGTGGTGGGGAAACGACCTTTTAAAAGTCAGCTAAATAGACTTTAAAAAGTGGAAATATTGCTTCACCTCAAATAACAGCCATATTTTCTGAAGCTTCCCAAACGAAATGCCGCGAACCATTTCATTTTCCAGCCGGAATTTCCGGTTTTCCATTGTAAATGGTATCCATGGAAACTATTTGATGGCGAAGTTTCAAAGCAAGCTCAGAGTGTGGACACATTAGAATATACAAAAAATAGCTGCTAAATCAACCGTACTGGTAAAGGCAACCAACCACCCAAGTGTGATGAAATTAGAAATAGATATAAAGTACAACTAAGAAATGCCCCCAAAAAATCCGAGCCCCCAGCAGGAATCGAACCCGCGCATTGGTAAAGGCGATGGAAATAAACATGATACAAACATACGTAGTAAAAAAAAATACAGTTTAGCCTTAGGTTATGTTCACATTTGGTGCGCGAGTTTTAGTACTTAGGTGCTGGCCCAGAATGGTGTTGTCGTTACCGTGTACAGATTGGGGGGCTCAATTAACAGCGGTTTTGAGCGACGCAAGCCAGCCAGAGAGAACGTTTGGCATTTTTGGGCAGTAATTTTGGCTCTGCTAGTGTCAAGATACTTAGTAATACAAACTTGGTAGCGACAAGGCATAATGAAAAGGGAAAAGGTATCACCTCCGGTTGGCGTGCGTCGCTCAAAAACACCTTCGCTTAAGCTCCCTATTTGCTTCATTTAACCCTGCCGGACATATTGAAACATGAGTGTAGCAGGGAGTTGCAAGTATGCAAAGCAGTGAAACTGCCTTGGAAGTGAAAGGTAAGGTATGCCTACAGGGTCCCGGTACCCCGTTTCGAGTCAGAGACCTTGCACCCGGACACCAGCACCACGCGCGAATTCTGGTGTGGGTACTTGAAAAACGGTTGTGTTCACATTAGTTCCGTTCTTGGCCAAAAAGTGTGAACGATGCCTTAAACACACTTTTTGTTGACCTTGTTTTATTCTTATATTCGTTTATAAATAGGCGTCTTCGTTTTCCCGCGCGAAGTAAAGGAAATGGGAGACGTGTGCGCACGCAATTTCATCGTCGTACTGAATCAGCAACACACCTTATTGAGGCAAGAGCTTGGTGCAAGCGTCTAAGGAAAGCGAACTACATGTCAGGGCTCAAAATGAATTTGGGACTGTTGCCAGTCGTGTTGACCGCCAAAAAAATTGTAGCTCAGACACGTCTCTCATCTGACAGGTCAAAATGCTAAAACATTTCCCGATCGTAACTTAAACGACCTAGCCCAACAAGCATAGTTTTTTTCTGATCGTTTGTCTCAAATTCTACATTCTGAAGCTTCCCAAACGAAATGCCGCGAACCATTTCATTTTCCAGCCGGAATTTCCGGTTTTCCATTGTAAATGGTATCCATGGAAACTATTTGATGGCGAAGTTTCAAAGCAAGCTCAGAGTGTGGACATATTAGAATATACAAAAAATAGCTGCTAAATCAACCGTACTGGAAAAGGCAACCAACCACCCAAGTGTGATGAAATTAGAAATAGATATAAAGTACAACTAAGAAATGCCCAAAAAAAATCCGAGCCCCCAGCAGGAATCGAACCCGCGCATTGGTAAAGGCGATGGAAATAAAAATGATACAAACATACGTAGTAAAAAAAAACACAGTTTAGCCTTAGATTATGTTCACATTTGGTGCGCGAGTATTAGTACTTAGGTGCTGGCCCAGAATGGTGTTGTCGTTACGGTGTACAGATTGGGGGGCTCAATTAACAACGGTTTTGAGCGACGCAAGCCAGCCAGAGGGAACGTTTTGCATTTTTGGGTAGCAATTTTGTCTCTGCTAGTGTCAAGATACTTAGTAATACAAACTTGGTAGCGTCAAGGCATAATGAAAAGGGAAAAGGTATCACTAGCAGGGAGTTGTAAGTATACAAAGCAGTGAAACTGCCTTGGAAGTGAAAGAAAAGGTATGCCTACTGGGTCCCGGTACCCCGTTTCGAGACAGAGACCTTGCACCCGGACACCAGCACCACGCGCGAATTCTGGTGTGGGTACTTGAAAAACGGTTGTGTTCACATTAGTTCCGTTCTTGGCCAAAAAGTGAGAACGATGCCTTAAACACACTTTTTGTTGACCTTGTTTTATTCTTATATTCGTTTATAAATAGGCGTCTTCGTTTTCCTGCGCGAAGTAAAGGAAATGGAGGACGTGTGCGCACGCAATTTCATCGTCGTACTGAATCAGCAACACACCTTACTGAGGCAAGAGCTTGGTGCAAGCGTCTAAGCGAAACTACATGTCAGGGCTCAAAATGAATTTGGGACTGTTGCCGGTCGTGTTGACCGCCAAAGAAATTGTAGCTCAGACACGTCTCTCATCTGACAGGTCAAAATGCTAAAACATTTCCCGATCGTAACTTAAACGACCTAGCCCAACAAGCATAGTTTTTTTCTGATCGTTTGTCTCAAATTCTACACAGAGAAAAGAAAACCCGGCAATACAAAGTAAATATCTTTGCAAGAAATAACAAGTTGACAGGATCATACCCAGCTTCCGACGCTCTACTTTAAGCCAGAGATAATAACTAAATTAAAAGCAGTTGCGATATATATTATTAATAACTGAAAAGTGCACCTACCGAGGAAAAATCTCACATCCAACAAAATGTCCTTCAACTGTTTCCTCACTTCATCGGCTTGTGGAAAAGTATCCCTTAGTACAGGGCCACTTTTAATTTCACCATCACTTTCCTCAACCAAAGATAATTTGGGCATCTGTGCGTCTCCTTCACTATCAATCTCCTTTGAATCCTCCGTCTCCTCATGTGGTGATTCTGCTGTACTGAGTGCTTCTGGGGCTGCTTCGTTGCTACCTATAGTGTCATCTGTCAGGGGCTCCGTTTGTATGGTTTCTTCTTCATCTCTAACATCGCTACAAATTGTCTGACCTTGCCTGCGTTGTTCCCCCTGCTTAGAAATGCACTGATTCGAGTCCGATTTGTTGGAATTATGTGTCAGTTGATTGCTTTGATCTACACCACCGTTTGGGGTTTCAATTTCGTTCCCATTTCGAGAGACGTTTTGACCAGATCCGCGTGTATCATTCTCGTTGTCCATGCTAGAAACAACCTGATTTGCGTCTAATGCAGAGTCATTACTCTTCGCTTGATCGCTATGATCGGAGTCGACGTTTTCAGGTTCTATTTCGTTCTTTCTCAGAGCCTCATCAGATCCATGTGTCTCTTCCTCGTCGACTTTGTCAGATAAATTGTCCTTTTCTTCTTTCACCAAAGAATCTAACTCACTAGAAGATTTTTCGTCGTTTAAGGCAGTTGGTTCTACACGATCGTCACTTTTATCCACTTGGATCTGTGTATCACTAGCTTCTTTATTTTCACAAATATTTTCCTCACCAGTTATTTCATGCGATTCCTTTATGACATCAGTAGTTTCCTCAACATCGTCATCTTCGTTGCTTTCCCAGTCAAACATATCATCCTCAAGCTCTTCAAAATAACTCTTCAAATTCTCAGATTCATCAGTTCCCTCAACAGTTAAAGAACCTTGTGAATCACCAAGCTGTCCATCCTCCGAGGGACCCTCAAGCGGAGCTCCATCTTCAAGAAAGCTCTTAAGTTTCTTTAAATCAGTATTCAAACTTTTTCCTTCGTTACAAACGTGGATAGCATCGTTTTTGTCACCTTTATATTCTTCTCCAACGTTTTCGTCTGCCAAGTATTTACCTATCTCACTTTCATCCTGCTGAAGGGTAGCTTTTGAGTTTTCATCAGTGTCTAACTCGGTCGCCAAATTTTCCCCACCATCTGTAGCCCTTAAAGAACCCGTATTGACTTCCGTATTTTCCATCTCATCCGCCTCCACATGGCCAGTTTCAATTGTTTCAGCAGGTATCTGTTCCGGTTGACTGTCACTTGAAGTAATATCAGTTCCCTCGCAGGTAGCTTTGTGTCCGCTTTTCACGTCCTTGAAGCCCACATCTTTTACCAACGGGGCCAGTTTCCGGTACACGTGATATTGGTACTGGAAAAGGAACTGGGTCAGTGGATGATCATTCGAACTGCAGGATGGGAGATAAAAAGACACATATTGTATTGTACAGCAAAAACCACTATCGTGTTTATCACATCTAAATAAGACACTGATTAGACATTTCTAACTTATTTATGACTCAGTAGATTTTAAAGGTTATTTTAAACGCAGTTAGAAAAAAAAAAAGACAGATTAAATAGGATGAACGGTGAAAATATGTAAGCAACATTTAACAAACTTCTAGAGATATAACGCACTCAGGTAAGAAACAAGAATATTACGATACGCAAGCGATTCTGTGGAAACGATTACGAATACTTAATTTTTAACAAGGGAATACTCCTAGAATTATCCCTATTTCGAGGAGGGCTAAAAAGTTCTAGATAACCGTTCCACTGACATACAAAATTCGAAGCTTATCTAATATATTCCCTACGATTTTCTTTTAACCCACATTAAGCTATTTCTCGAAGAAAAAGGAAACCTAATATTTTCGGATTCAAAAGTGTGATGGAGAGAGAAATCAAAAAAAATCTTATTTTCGTAAGACTTCAATATGCATCTAAATTTTCGGGAAAATACTGCTGAAGCCCTTGTAATTTCGATAAGACTCAACTTCCCCTAAGATGACTGAACAAGATACAAATTTTGTAGTGCCCCTTACAAAGCATTTCTAGAGATCTAAAAGTACTCTGGATAGCCTAAAAAGTGTTTTCAATGCATTTAGGAGGAAATCGTCGTTGAGTGCCCTTGAATCATGGAAATGGTGGGCATACATTGTATTGTCTAGTCTAAACTTAAGAATGAACTTTAATCCGCTAAAGGAGGAGCTCTATTGAACAAAGTATACCTCTAAAACTACTACACTAAAGAACAACCCACACAGGTCTCGGTAGTTTATCAAGAGGACAAGAAACTCCTAACAGACAAAAGACAGCGAAAATACGTTGTCAAGGGGACTGCTGACAGCCATCTTCACTTAACATAATTACGTGTATATCTCTGTTCCGAAAGCCAAGCTCAGGTTTACAATCCAAACAGAACTGAGCATGTGTAAGATAAAGCCTAAAATGACAGTAAATACTATTCAATACTGAGAGTGATTAACCTTACCAAAAAATCTTGGTTATAATATCTTTGATCAACTTGGTGTCCGTTGGCATTAGTTTCAACTTTTCACGTAAATGCTTTGGCCACACCTTGAAATAAAACGAAAAAAAATAATAAACGTGAGATCAATACTTGCAGTACTGGTCAAGGCTTTTGATGGACAAGTGGTAATTCTACATTATTCATTTCAGTGTTCATTTATACTTTCTGTTTGTTATTGCTCAAGTGCCATTCCCAAAAGAGTCAGCGGCAAGACTGGTCATCTTCAAAGTGAAATGGGCTTTTTAGGAGAGTTTTCGCTAACAGCTCAACACTGCTGCGCACAGTATTTACGAATAGACTTAATTGGCTAGACAGATATTAGTGGCATTCTCTTCACCAATGAGTAGGTCTGGCCTACAATTTCTGACAAATGGTGGGCACCCTTAGAGAGAGTTAACAGTGCAGAGCATTTTTATTTTATGGACTTACTGTCTCCTGTTCAAATTCCAGAATCTTGGTGTACAATGAACGTTGTTCTTGTTCTTCTCTTGTGTACAACACTGCAGGTCCAAAGCGCCTAAATAACACATAATTTTGTTAATAACCCCAGATCCTTCCTTAATGACGAAAAATGGTTATCAATGTCAATCTGCAAAATTTGTTCTGACCATTTTCATTGCCGTGTGAATTCCCATAACTGTAAAAAGCAAAGTAGTTTCATGCCTTTGCAATACGCCCCGAAAAACAAAACTGGAAGATCGTTTCTTTTTTCAGTTTTCTTGGGTTTATACTACTACATGAAAAATTACTGCAATTTGATTGGCTTAGAACAGTGGTATTTCAGCTTAATTTGAAATACCTACATGTGAAAATTACAAAGCGTTTGCGGGTAGTAGTATAAACAAATAATAGCATGATTTGTACGTGATATTTGGCATAAATACCACTCGTGATATTTCAAAATTGTCTCAAATTTCACTCGCCTAACGGCTCGTGAAATTAGGTTAACAATTTCGATATATCACTCGTGGTATTTATGCCAAACATCACTACAAATCATGCTATTACCTATACTAATAGTATAATTTACCCTTTAAGTCCCAAAAGTGATTAAAATCAATTTTCTCCTTAAAATATCAATGCAATATTAGTGAAATGATCACTTTATGAGGGATATGCTTTAATCTGCTATCAAATTCTCTCAACTTAACTAGACCACTTATATTTCTATTTGTATATATTTTTCTTATAATTATGTTAATTAGTGGGGACATCCCTAGTATGGCGCATTGGTGCTTTTGGTTGTCTCCTTCTCCACAACTTTTTTTTCTTTTTTTCTTATCGTAGTGTTAGCTTATTTCATTATTTGCTTGTAATGTAGTGGAGTGATTCTGTAATAAATAATAAATAAATATTTAAATAAAGAAACTTGTTCTAGGAGTTTCGTTTCAAGACGGACGCTGGACGCAACTCTGGTTGTTCTACATTTAGCGCCCGGTAGCTCAAACACGAAATAATTATTTTTTCAAGTGTGAAAATCGTTTCTTCTTTTTTTTCAATTTATTAATCAACTACAAAATTGAAAAACTGCAGAGCAACAATTATATTGCCAAATAAACATCATTTTTTGGGAGTATTTCTTATGCCTTAAAAGACCTTCTCTCACAAATTACACATACAGGATATATCTACAAATTATACAAATGTTCAGATCGATTAATCAATCTTTGCATCCTACGGGATGCATGCCATGAATTATTTTGCGTCTTTGGGCACTTCTATGCATCACGGAAGCAGGACACAGAGGTAACAAGGTCACTGCACCAAGGTTCAGCATAAACAACAGAAGATGACATCACCCTATATAACCCATTCACTCCCAGAGTCAATGGTGAACTTATGCAAAAGACACCCATCTATGATGTCATCGGTGTTAATTTACTCCTGCATTCCTTACTGAGTTTCCTGCCCAGAAAAAGCGCCTAAACAATTGGCCACTGTACTACAATACGAGCTACACGCAGTACTAAAAATCGGTTAAAATCATTGGTAGAAGCTGTTTTTCATTCTTAGACCTAGCCTGAAAATGGGGAAGGAAGGTATGCTAAGAACGTCTGCATGAGCTGCTATACAAGACCTTTCTTAAAGAAGGTACGATGTACAAGGAAATAATTAAAGACTATCAACGTTCACTCTTGATTTTGGAAAATGAACAATAATTTAAATCATAACAAATTTTTTCTCAAAGGTGCAGTATTCTTTCAAGTAATGTCAACCCTTCAACAAGATGTCAACAATTTTTGTTGCATAACCTCATTTTTTAACACTTTTTGTCACCATTTTTTGTTGCATAACCTCATTTTAGTTACTATGTGATGAGTCTCATTTGGCCAACCCCATTTACAAAATGAAAGTAAGTGAGATATGCTTGAAAGAAGACCTTTGAGACTAAAAATGTTATTTAAATTGCTGGAAATAATTATTGTAAGAAATTTACCTATTAGTCTCTTCTTGAAGCCTTTGTTGTCGTTCAAGAAGTTTTTTCTTTATCTTTGTGTTGAGTTAAGAAATGTTTAATCAAATTGTGTATACTGAGTCAAAAATTAATTAATACGTACATACATAGATACATACTTTATTGTTACCTCCCCAAAGGGACTTTTCAGGAACATTGATTATTGTTCAAAAAAGGGGATTTTTTCGTGTAAACCAACTTTATTAGTGACTTAGGGAAAAAAATAATCTTAGATACTTTGTACAATACATGTGAACAATAATAGAAATATGCTAATTACACTGTGCACAGTGAAGTAAAAAGGAACCCCCCAAGAAACAAGCAAAACAAAAAAAAAAGAACATTTACATGTTGTTATTGTGCAAACAGAAAATGGTATTAATTGCTAAAGTGTATATTAAAGGTTTTACTGAATAGAGAAAAAGGGGATGGAAACAGGGGTCTCTAAACCAACTACCTCCCACATCTTGCATTCCCAGCACCCACCATGTTTTTCGTGGCTTTCTCCCTTAAGCCCCTATTTTGATTGCAAAATAATGGCATTCTTGCATAATTTCCCCCTATTTTTCCTGTTGATTCACAGGGAAAGTGTATGTGGAGGACAATGGAATAGTCTAGCAGGGTTGTCACCAAGATTTCAAGTTGCCAGGTAAATACAACAAGTAGGCGGGGAATCAAACGGCTACAGATTTCTTTTGGTTCTATTTTTCTTCTATTTTCCAATAAAAGTAGTCGGGGGCCACTCTCTTAGTAGCCGGGGAAAATCCCCGGCCCCCGGCTCTTAATGACGACCCTGGTCTAGCCTATGTAGCAAGCTTTTCACTTGATATATAGCACAAAATTAATGTTGCTCTTGTCCAACTTTTGCACAATAACTCGGGTGTGGAAAACTGCTACGCAGGCTGGAAACAGTTCCACTTTATATTACATTATTATAATCATATATTGAACTGGATAAGGACTTAGTATTTCCTTGCCAGCTACTCTATAGTTGCTTGCATTAAAGACATAAATTATATGTGAAAGAATTCTATTGACAACTATCAACAGATTTACTATAAATAAAAAAAAGGATACAGCATCCTCCCTGGCTTTAGCAATGACAAGATTCTCAGACATTCTTCTCATTAAACTGAGATTCTGTTAAAGTTTAGAGAAATTTGGTGTTATAAAATCAATAATAATATTTTAATATTATCATCATGTTTTGACAAAAGAAGCTACATTGCTAATATAAAATTGAAATAACAACCTTGCTTTTTTTGTGGATAGGGCTTAATTCTCTCTTCAGGGTCTTGCTTACTCTGGACCCAAAAAACACACAATATGAACATGCAATTTTATTTAACATTAGAGGATGCTGCTGCTGCTTTCAACAGAACAGGTGGCTTGCAAGGGGGCTATTCAGTTAAGTTGCCTTCAGCATCAAGCAAATAACTCTTACTCCCTACAATACGCATACTCCTTACAAACAAACAAATCGTATTTACAAATTAGGATAACAAATTTAAACTAGTTTCCTACATGTAAAGGAAAAGACGATAATCAGTCATAAAACATAAAAAAAATCTATATATATCATGAATAACGTCGTCACCTTTGATATTACATCCTGATTGCGCCTTCCTTTTGTTGAACTTTGCATTCTTGTCCTGTATGCTACTAATAAATTCTTGTTTTCTTGATATGCTTTCTCTAAAGGATCGTAACTACCAGTTCTAAGGTAAGCAGATGATTCACAAAGAAGGGAAAGTTTCAGGAATTAATACAATAATATAACATTTAATGTATTTTACTTTTATTTAATAAGTTACTGTGCAAAGAAAGGTTGTATTATTCAACTGTTGTAATTTGCCTTATCTCTTATTTTGGCAATGTCACAAACTCGGCAGGTTTTTCTGGCCTCTTTGAAAAAATTGTAATGAAGAATTTATTATGACAATGGCTTATGCATCACAAACAGGAAAATTAGTGAATTTTTTTTGGCTTGAGGGCTCAGAGGAAGTGCAATATCACTCAAATGTATTTCAATGTAGATTTTCTTGACTATTTTGTTTCTGTCAATAGAAGATTCTTTTGCCCTGACTTGACCTTTCCCAATACTATAACCATGTTTAGAAATGCTACAGGGGATACACTCACAGTGGATAAAAGTTTACAGATGAAATATTATCACATTTGTTTGTACCTATTAGACACTAATAATGGAAAAATTAATTTTAATGTGACACCAGGATTAGTTATTGTTGTTTTTTTATCTTACATTGTATAATAATACTGTAAGCTCCATAGAAATTTTTGAGCCACATGGCATGAGATGAGACGAAGGAAGCAAAGAACACACACACACAAACACACATGAAAATTATCAAAGATACCCAAGCATGAATTTCGAGACATAATTTTCTGGTACCTTCGATGATGTGGCATTGGGGAACCAGGCGGTGACGGCAGGTGAAGATAATCATCATTGGAAGGTGTTGACAGTCTTGACCCTGGCGCAGTTGTATCAGACAGCTTATGAGATGATTGGCTCTGAGGTGGCAAGCGTGACTGATCTGAATGCCTGCCATCAGCTTCGGAACTGTCAGAATATCTCTTTTGTATGCCATCCGATGGAGGCTGGAGATGCTGCATGGACTTATCAGCCTCAGGTTTCAACACAGATGATGATTCACTTGCTGAAGTAAAAACAGAATAAAGCTAAGTTCACCCCAATAAACACTGTAGCAGCTAACAGACCCTTAGCAGCTGTAGTCAAGCTTTCTTATACCAGAATTATAAGATATAACTTGCAAAATACCTGAGTTGAAAATTGTATTTTAACATAGTGGCTCTTCTGTTAAATTTGTAGGTATCCAACTCTTAACAGTGAGGTTTTATAGTGGTTTGACTGATTTGTGCAAAAAATAATATCAAGATAATTATTTTTTTATTGCTCAATAGAAAAAGTAGTTGGACCATGTCACACACCTCGAAAACCAGCCATTAGATCTGTCACGAGGGCATGTGGCTTAGGTTCCCTCTCCTCCCCAACTAAATTAACCCACCCCTACTATGGGCATGACCCCTAGCTACTTTTAAAGGAAAATAAATCCAAATTCCACAGCTCTGCAATTCCCTGCTCACCAATAGACCATTTTATGTATTGAATTATTTTATTAGATTTAAGGAGTATTATGGGGTGCCCAGGGGACACTCCCTCAGTATTTACACCCACTTTTCACACAAAAAGAGAACTTCATTGTATATTTCTTGGGAAAAAGGCGATTATTGCTACATCCAAACAGTCATGGCACAATAATCTTTTTTTCCCATTGTGTACTTCCAGAAAATATCCATACCCACCCCAAGGATGGTCCTAGGAAATTCCAAAGGGGAAGAGGTCTTAAAGGCCAAAATTTTTTAAAGGAAGGTATGAAACTAAACTGGAATTTCCAAACCAAAATACCATCCTTGGGGTAGTGTGGATATTTTCTGGAACAATATTACAATCTTTTTCTAGGAAAACTTAAATAAAAATCGGCCTGAAAAGTGCGCATAAATACTGAGCGAATATATCAGATCATGTTCATGCCCCCTGGGCATCCCATAATAATCCTTAAATTATCTAACAAATTCAACATGGCCACCGTAGCGGTAAGAAGGTCTATTGCATAAACCCAGCAACTTGAAATCTTAGCAACAGGCCTGCAGCAATTTTTTCCACGTCAAACCCTTACAGTTTTACAGACATTCTAACACAGGTAAAATCTAAGTATTAATTTTTTTTATTATTCACCCTGAAATAGACCGTAGTTAATTTTTATTTCTCATGCATCTACATGTAACTTTGTTTCAAAACATCAGCCCTACAACCTTGGGATTTTTATTTTTTTTGTAATGTAAGTGTGCAGCATTCCTGGTCTGACCAAATTCTTATGTGCTGCCGACCAAGCTCACTGAAAGTTACATACCAAGTGTAGAAACAATCGTCAGAGCTCTTTCCTGGCACTGTTGAAGTAATCGAAATAACTTGGCCGTATCACTGTTATACACCTGCCTCAAATCTAAGAAGAATAACAATTTAAACATCAAGTAAATATTATATTCTTGAAATGCACATTGCCCAAGATATTACACTGTAAGTGTACCAGTGTATGAGAAAAATTTGTTGCGCCTTTGTACTAGCATTTCACTAATATATAATCATTTTTCTGGTTTATTTTAAGGCAAAGAATTGTATCGTAGAAAAAAAAAATTATAAACTACTTATAACCTTCAAAATCTCAGCATGGAAGGTAACATAAAAATATGACTTCTTGTTTAGTGACAAAGGATTAAAGATCATACCTTTATCCCAAGCATCATCTTTTAGGACTTGTGAAATGTACATCATAGAACTCAGGTACTGGCAGTATGCTTCCTGGTTCAGGAAATGAGCAAAACTTTAATTGATTTTTTCTCCATTTAACCTAGAGAGTTTCTATGTTCTCAGGTTAAGCAAGTACCGGTACATGTATTCAATATAGTTTGATTAAGAACTTCCTCTGTTTCCTAGCCCTAATTGTTCATAGGAGACAAAGGAAATTCTAGTTTAATCTGAGAATGAGTGTTACCTACAACAACGATATGTAATCGCCTGTATTAGTGTGCCCACTATGATACATTTAATTGACAATTGTTACGTTTAATTAATTAATCAATTCCTGGAAGAAAAAAAAAATACACAAGAACAGCCAAAGCCGGGGGCTTAAATGGCCTGAGGTCAGCAAAAAAAAGATGTGAAGAATTTACAGGAATAGAAGAAGGCTTTAACAAAAATAATTACAATACAATTAGATCAAGAAAGAAAAGGTCAGTTAGAAAAACTTACAACTAAAATACAATACTTGGCAACTAATTTCAAATATTTAAACAACTAAAAATTCCTATAAACCTATTATTATTCCTAATAATTCCTATAAACCACACAAACAACTAATAATTCCTATAAACCACACAAACAACTACAAACAAATACACCTAGTATAGTCCCATAAGGTGTACAGATTATGCGTAGGCTAATTAACTACTCAGAAAAATACAGTCTTAAGTATTTTTTAAAGTTACTTACTGTGAGATTATTACGCACAGTTAACGGAATATCATTCCAAATAATAGGAGCTTGCCAAGTGATAGCAAATTGGTACTTATGACAGGTTTTATGCAGATTAAAACGTGAACGAGTCATATAATCATGATATTCAGAATTAAAATGAAGGATCGAGGAAACCGGAGTAGGTAAAAGGCTATTGAAATGTGACAATACAAAACAAGCAACATGGAATTTATAGATAGAGTAGAGTGAAAGAATATTATGCTTAGAAAAAAGGGGCTTAGAGGATGTGCACGGAGGAGAAAAAGTAATTACACGAACAGCTTTCTTTTGAAGTACATAAAGGGGTTTAAGGTAAGAAGCATAAGTAAAAACTGCAATAATTGATGTAAGGTAAGAAAAGAGAATTATATAAAGTTTTCAAAGTATTCAAGGGTAAGTATCGCCTCGACTTGCATAAGACTCCTATTACTTTAGAGACTTTATCACAGACAGCAGAGATATGCGGTTTCCAAGATAAATTTTCATGAATGATAATCCCAAGAAATTTGTCTTCCTGCACACGTGTGATGAGAGAATTATTTATAAATATGTTTATATCTGAGGAGTTAATTTGTTTACGTCGCGGGTGAAAAATGATGAATGCATGTGATTTTTGAACTTGCACTCACAACAATAGATTCCATTTTATTAAAGGAAGTTTATTTCAAAACACCTGGGTCAAAAAATACACATGTGACGTCATTCATTCAGCAACTTATAAAATTTTACTGTCCATTAGCTAAGATCGCGATAGAACGATGCGACATTTTACAATTATAGTTGCTTATACGCACATGTAGCTGATTAGACTGATCTGAGTTCAAAGGAATAGATCTTTAAACTAAACTTTTACTATACCTTTAAACAATGTAAATTAGTTTATTTTTATTAACCTTGTCATATAAAGAGATCAAGCTTAAGCCTAATAAAGCGTGCTCTTTATCAGTGCAAGAATTAATTAATGTCAAACCTTTGTCCTGTTTTCCGAATCATGCCTTATGGCATCTCCAACAGATCGCAGTGCTAAAGGCATGCAATCAGCAATCCATTCAGCCATTTTCTTGGGAAGGTTATCCGCGAGAACCTCGTTTGGTTTCTCGAAAACTCTTATACCCCTCCTCCTACGTCGGCCATATTGAATCGGCCCGCAAAGATGTCTGGGATTTGTTGCTATGCATTTATAATCGCTACAGTGATTGGTCAATGTTTTAGAGCCAATCAGAGAAGTCCTTATAACTCCTAACGTTCCCGGATGTTGCTTCACGCGGTTCAAAATTCAAGATGGCGGAGCGTGAAATAATGATCGGCGGTCGAAGGCTTTCCCAGCTCAAGGTCGATGAACTCAAAGTGGAGCTGGAAAGGCGAGGCCTCAGAAAAAGTGGTAACAAAGGAATCCTTATTGAAAGACTACAAGAGGTAGTTTTATTTGTGTTATGTACTAGATCGCTAAGTAACTGGTACTGTTGACTGAACGGTTTTCTTTGTTGTATAATTTTGCATTTTGTGTTTGTTCATTGTTTGTGTGTTTATCAGATTCCAGTTAAACAACTGTTTGTATGGCTAGAAACCAGCTATCTCTTCTAACATTCATATTTTAACGTTGTAACTAGCTAGTTTGATCGGCTGTCTTAATTGAAGTAAACCGGTTTGATTTGAAAGCTTTATTAATGTCTTCACTGCCATGCTGGCAGAAGTGCTTTGGGTAAGGTCTCCGCTCAGCCTATTAAATGTTTCGACACTTCTCACTCTAATCTATTTGTGTGAAATATTAGATTGATTCATGCATAATAGATGTATGGGGCTGTACGGAAATTTTACCTTTTTTGTATAGCATTGTGCAATTAGAGTTTAAAAGTTTAGAATAGAGTTGATCCTTTATCCCGAGATCCAGATCTGTTAGCACAAATGATATTTTAAACTCATCAACAAAGACAAACAGATCATTATACGTTTCTAGAAAACTACCCACCCAAGTACCCCTCCCCTAAAACAACATTTTTCCCTAAGTGAGAAGTAATTGTTATTGTTGGCTTAGGAGGGGGGAGGGGGTAGGTGGGCTGTTTCCCTGAAATGTATAATGATCCAGATAAGCTTGGGGAAGGTGCTGGAGAGGCTCGTGTAATTAAGAACTGCAGCTGAGTGCAGCATGTAACTATGACAACTGTTTGAGTGGCATCTGCCCGGGTACTATCTACTTACATAAGGGAGGGTGCAATAGTGAGCAGAACTATTCATGAACACAAGGATTAAAAATCAATGCAAATCTTATGGCCAAACCTCAACAGAGATCCTGTAAATTCCTAAAAGCCCTTGCAAAGATATTTGAGTACCCTGGGTAATCTCAGATGAAAGACTGACAATCAGCAATCTCTTGAGTCCAACATTTTACCAATCTATATTGTTGATTATAGTTTTTAATCCTGGGTCAGGACTAATCAGTCTTTCAGGACCTGGGTGTAGATCATAGAGTGAGTTTCTTTGGTATGATCCAGATCAGGATCAGAGATCCTAGATCATTCGGATCATGGTACATGAACTAAACCAGTGAATCCTTTTTTACGGTGGATTTGTAGATTCCTGCCATATTCTGTGATCCAAGTGGTCTAACAAATAGTTATGGTGAGTCCTGGGACTCATCTTGTGAAAAATCATGAGTCCCAGTTAAAAAACATGAGTCCCTGGGTCTTTATGTAACTACTCAGTTAATCCAAAGACGCCGACTCCAAAAACTCTGTATTACTGAATACAGTTTACTGAAATAAAAATATACTCCTTCTGTTGTCAAGCACAACAAAGACTAAAAGAAATATGTGCCATTTAACAACAGCCACAGAACACGATATTCTACAAAATCATCTTCAGATTGATCACTTGATCTTTGCATCCTACGGGACACATGTCACAAATTATTTTGTGAGATTTTTATGTGTCAGAGACTCACGTTGCAGAGGTAACAAAATCACTGAGATGAGCTGATCCTGATCCGGATCATTCCAAAGGAACACACCAATACAGCCTCTAGAGTTGATAATGATCAATATTTCATGTTTAATAATAATGGTATAGTGTACATGATGTAATTATAAGTTATTATCTAATCAAGGCAAAATTGGGTGTCTATACACTTATGGTGGTAGCTTGCTTCTTTGAAAACTGATGAAAAACACTTGTGATGTACATTGCAGCACTTGTATTTTTCGCTTTTATTTTCAGGCCATTGACAAGGAGCTGGAGCAGAAAGAAGATTATGAGAGTTTTTCTGTTCCACAGCAAGCACACCAGCAGCCAGTGGCAAATGCTTGGCCACATGCTCTGATGCAGCAGCAGCAACAACAACAACGCCCAGGTATGTTATTTACGTTGCATTATTTTGGAAAAGCTATTGCTTTTGCATAACCTACTATTAACTGGGCCTTAACAAAATAATGTAGTTGTTCAAAAGCTGGATAGCCCTATATATCCTAAACCACTGTCCACTGGTTATTTACAGTACAACTCAAAAGTAAGTTGACAGTCACTCGTGTTTTGATTAAGACTCGATACTTGAGTTGCAGAAATTGTGAGTCAACCCAAGAAATACAATGTATAATGAGCTTGTCACTGTACTCTTTTCGGCGCGTCAATGAACTCACTGGCTTAAACTTAAAAGCAGCTCCATGGAATGACAGGTTTCTATATCCAACGTAGATTTTTTCCAGTAGAGTTCGCTGGCACATCTGTTTGTCCAAAAAAAGCCAAAAGGTATGACAGCACTTTTGGAAGCATTGCCGATCAGTCTATGATTCATTTCAGCTTGAAACGTTTAACAAAACCTGCAGGCAGTTACAAGCAAAGCTATCATCTCAAAGTTTTTTAAAAACAGGTAGTTTTCAATGTGGTGCAGTGGATGAAGTGACTTTATTAAAAGCATGTTTTACATAAATATGGAAATACCGATCCTTCAGAAAGCGAATTTTAATTCTCAACAGTCTACAGGTCACAGAGGTAATAATTTGTTCGCTTGTTTTTCACGGTAAAGCTTTACCACTGATTCTTGAAATCGCCCAAGAATTTTTTTTTTCAACCACACTCTTGTGCAAGGTGCCAGCAGGTATCCACCAAAAGATAGTGATTTTGTCAGGTCCTGGCATGCTCCAGTATTATTATTATTATCTCTATTATCACAGTCTTTGCTGGTGTTCTTTTTGCGCATCAGCCAGGCGCAAACCATGCACCTAGAGCGTCAGTCACTCAAGTCAGTCATTCTGTTCATACACTGAGCACCTTTCTAAGGATTCGTGCAGATCCCAGCATGCAGATCTTTTGAATCTGTGTCATACTAGCTCTCTCTGATACTTTCTTGATGTTTTCTACCATACCCTTCTTCACTGTACCAAGCGCACCAACAACCACAGGGATCACTACGGTTTTCATATGCCACATTCTCTGTATTTCTAGTTCTAGG